TATTCTATTCTATTAATGCTAAGACTGTTAGATTTTAAACACATTTAATAATAACAGTCTAGCCTTATATTTTATCTCCATTCTCTTATTTTTTCGCTAAGCTATTAAAACAGCAAGTTTACTCTAAAACTATAATAATTGAATTTTATGGTGATTACACAATCATATATTTATATATCTTTGGGTTTTAATCATTTTACTCCCTCTTCCTGAAATAGTTCTGTTCTTTCCATATTTACTCAGTTGCAATAATTACAAAACAAATCTATTTGTAAACAAATGACCCAGACAATAGTTCAAGACAAATGGAAAGTAACAGACAACATACTAATGCAAATTAAAGAAAACTAACTTCTACTTTTAAAATAAAATAAAAAAAAAAGATAGAATAAACCCTCCAAATTTGTTACTGAGTATAGAACCGACAATAAATATTTGTCGTGGTTTAACCTGGCTGGCAACTAAGCACCACGCAGCCGGTCGCTCACTCCCCCCTCCCTCAGTGAGGATGGGGGAGAGAATAGGGAAGGTAAAAAAAAGTTAGAGCTGTGGGCTGAGAAAAAAAGTTTAATAAGAGAAAATAATAATAATAGTAATAATGAGAACGGTAACAGAATATACAGAATATACAAAACGAATGATGCACAATGCAATTGCTCACCACCCGCTGACCGATGCCCAGCCCGTCCCGAGCAGCGATGACTCCCTGAGCCGTGATCACATACCCCAAGCTGCGACCACTCTGCCCACAACCGACCAACTAACCCCCCTCCCCGAACATGACGTTATATGGTATGGAATAGCTCTTTGGACAGTTTGGGTTAGCTGTCCTAGCTGTGCTGTACTCCCAGCTTGTTATGCACCTGGCCGAGTAGGAGAAGCTCAAAAAGTCCTTGAGTAGTCTGAGCACTACTTGGCAACAACTAAAACCATCAGTGTGTTATCAACATTCTTCTGGTACTAAATCAAAAACACGGCACTATGCTAGCTTCTATGAAGAAAATTAACTCTATCCCAGCCGAAACCGGGACAATATTAGCTAATGAAATAAAATTGAACCTTTGGAAGAATTCAGGACTACTGTCTCAAATGATCTCAGCACACAAACTTTCCATGTATCTAGGACTGCAGCCTTGCATGCAGTCTGTAATTATATTGCTTTATTGCAGCAGTTTGCCTCAAATCCTTGCTACAATTATATGGGATTTGACACACCCAAGCTACCACTTAGATAACTCAAAGTGTGACTGCTGCTCCAAACCTTTTTTATGACCAATTTCATGCAACAACTCCATTGATTATAATGACTGCAGAATGAGGGACATCCAGCATGTGGCATGGGTTCTCAAGGCCAGATTAAAATGTAGTAATAGTCATGCCAGTTAAAGACTGTATAACTGAGTGCCAGCTTGGCACTGATATTAAATGGCTCTTAGGAATACCGCTGATAATATATTAAGGAAGCATTTCCTACAGTACAGAGATGACAGATCTTCAGGATCGGTATCCCCTTTTACCTCTCAGGTGACATCAATCCAGTGATAAAAAAAAATACATCAGTAAGCCAGTGGGTAGTTCCCTTTAGCAGTATTACTTCAATGATTCATAGGAATTAGAACATTGCAACCCTCTGGTACTCTCTGGTAGCTTTCACAGAGACCTCTCTGGTCCTTCACTGGATCTGTGCTTAAAGTTGGGGTTTGGAATTCTTTCTTCGCTTTCTACGCTTAATGAGCTCAAACTCACAAATTCAAATTTCATCTAAAATACTATACACTATCATCAGTTCTTTATATAGTATGTGTGCAACATATTTAAAATAAAAACCTTCTGAAAATATTTAATAGGAAGATGTAATTTTAAGTGAAATTATTGAAATAGCATTTCTGTAAAGGAGTAATTATGAAAAAATATTTCTGACCACGTTTTAAATTTGAAAATGAAGTGTAATAAACCCCTTGCTCACTACATAAACACAACATAAAGTGAAAGCTATTCATAATTTTAATTCAAAGTAAAATATCACAGTATTTGCATTGCATACATGTATACTGGTCTTAGGAGAGAATGTCCCGCTATGCATCCTTCAAGATCACTTTCAATTAGCAGTTCTACAATTGCTGTTTAGGAGACAACACTGTCCTTCCAAAAAGACATCCGGGTTTCACAGGAACTTTTTGACTCCCACAAATTTTGGTAAAATTTACCAAAACATTCACCAAAGGAATGTAATTTCAAAAAAATCTCATTAAATATTGAATCTGCTAACATTTTCATTTGCAAGATTTTAAGTAAAACTGAGTGCACAAACTGAATAGAAACTAAAATTAACCAAATTATCACAGCTCCATTGCAAGTCACCATAACGTGAAAAATTAAGACCTATTTAACTATGCAAAATTGCAAGTTCTGCATTTTCAACACAGTGCCCAAAGAGAAGCATGGATAGATTTAGCCATTTCCCTCAGCTAAACAAAGATCTTAATGAAGAGAGAAGTATCATTAATAAATACTGGACAAATTAAAAGAACCAAACAGAACGTCATTACAGAGTGAAGCCACAGAAGCAAAGTAAAGCATTGATGGGTTAACCAAGTCTGAAGACATTTAAAGTCAGTAATTTTTAATACATTCCCCTACATTATCAGAAACATGCAAATAGTTATTAAAAAAATTAACTGCTGGTACTCTTCAGGAGACAAGTTTCAAACTTGTTTTGGACTTGTATGTCCATTACATATGGTTTTAGATCACATGCTTATCTGCCCATACAAAGACCAAACCAAACTTTTACAGTTTAAATTAATATTCTTCTAAATAATAAAAGTCAAAATAAAATGGTGAGGCTGGGGAGAAAAGGTCATTATGTGCATGCCTTTCCTACGTTCTGCAATGGTTTCATCCATCTTGGAAAATAAGACAGAACTGTGTGTGAACTGAGGACAAAAATAATTACACGCTCTGCTCACATCCTAGAGAGACAGCTAGAAGAAAGGTGGCATCCTTCATTCTAAATGTTTCCTACTCTTCAGGAAAGCACAAGCATAATCCCTTTGTTCAAAATGCATTTCCAACAGATGACAAAGATTTACAGCCAGCCCACAGGTGCTGACCTCCCACTTTCTGACCTGGCCAGTTTGTTTTTCCCCTTGTCTCCCCTCTCAAACTGGCACAATTATTAATTTGGGTCAATACAGCTTATTAACTAGCAAAATGTTTTATCCCACTGAACTGTACTCTCACATTAGCTGACCAAAATCTAGCTTCTTTCCTGTCTCCATTGTAACTCTCTAAGATGGAATTTCCCACCACCACCCAAAAGAGAAGTTGAGCAAAACTGTTCCAAATACATGTAATCCTGTACTGTTGTGAAACAAATTGTCTCCTTTTATTGATAGTAAGGAAGAGGAAGGTCCAAAAACAATATCTAGTTTCCTAACTGAATAGGCTTGAAGTAGGTCCTTTACAAAGCATTCAAAGAAACTTGGTATGAATTAACAGCATCAGCATGCTACTTGTCATTAATATTCTCCATGTTACAGTTGCAGGCTGCCAACAAAATGAAAAGATCTCTAAGTATTCGCTATTACATTTTAATCTTTGCACTGTGTTATGACTTAAGAATTCATCCAGATGTGTCATAAATGAACTTCACTACTTTCAAACAGGAAAAAGACGCCAAAACCACTGAAAAATTCCAGTCATTCCCCCAAAAAACAGCTCTGATACACCCAAGTGTACAGTTTCACATCTTTGCTTCCCAGTTAGCACCCATCTATACCCATTCACAGTCAAAAAAAATCTGGTCTGTTTCAAATGCCTGCATCTTTAAGTAGGAAAACTAAACACACCAAATCAGTGGTGGAGAGAACAGGTATTTCAAGCCTATATGTTTCATATTTTGTGTCTAAAAAATTAGTTGGAGACCTGCATTTATCATCTGAAGATGTAAAAAGTATCTCCACAGCATACCAAGAAGCCACAGTCATCCAGCTCAACTAATTCAGGAACAATTACTGCACTTTGCCTAAAGCCTGTAGTCCCACAACAGTTTAAGCTACTCTAAGTCAGTGCTCCTAGTCCCACCTTGATGTACTCAAGTGCTTGTGATCCAGTTCATGGTTCTCAAAAGCAACAGGAAGTTTCCAGCTTTAGTCTTCAGCCGACTTAGCACTGAAGCGGGTCATCATACTCATTTAAATCGCCAGTAATTGTCTCAAGGAAGGGTGAAAGTATGCCTAGCCAGGGCTGTGCAAGTGGTACTGAACAGCGAGAGTTGATTTAAATCATCTTAAAAGCAGCCCTGGATCTGCAGCCTGAGATACCTGAAGGAGTCAAATTCCCCGATGAGCGGTAACACTCAGAGGCTGACAGACTTTTAAAACTTCAGCAATACAGATGGATAGTTCCTTCCTGTATTTGCAATACAGCCTTCAGAAAAGAGAAAAAATACTAATTTAAGAACTCAAATGGTACCTTCAGGAGAAACTCAACATGAGCTCTCAGAAATGTCCCCAGCATAGAAATAATTACAGGTTTAGAGCCAGTACACAAGAGGTTGTTGAATTGCCCTTAGTGAGAATGCTGAAGAGCTGATTTGAACATCAGTAGTTGGAGGTAGCAAATATTAGCCACCTTTTAAAAAAAAAAAAAAAAAAAAAAAAAAAAGCAAGTAACTATGATGAACCACCCAACACAATTTACATTTTGAAGATAGGTTCAAAAGAAAAAAAATTCAACAACTATTATCACGAAAACCTTACTAATATTAAACTTGTATATTTTTACACCATTAGGTATTGCAACAGCATGTAACTGATGTGAAACCTGCCAATAATCAATAAAAGCTTAAATATATTTTTCCTCACATCAAGCATACAAAATAAATTCACCATTTAGGGAAAGGGTGTGAGTGTCTTTTTCAACCAGGGTCTCCTCAAATGATAGATGATTTGTAAAAACTTATTTGAATGTTTACAAGAAGTAAAACATTTACTTGCCTCTACCTCCAAAACAGCTGGATCATGGTTGTCTCTGCTCTTAAAGGAGACCTGAAAAGCAAAAAAAAATTGGGCTTGTGCCCTATTTTGCTTCTTTAAGATGTTTAAGAGAGGCATGAAGAGTTGGAATTAGGGTTTTTATTTTATCCTGTGATGGATACAATTTATTTCTTCTTGTTTACACTTGAGATTGAAATCCCAAGTCACAATATAAGACAACCTACTTAAGGGAAAACAATGCAAGAATCAACAGCAGCTGTCACAGAAAAAAGAACAAACTTCAGTTTTCTTCCCCTCACCCCCACCTCCTTCAAGTTCTTCTTCATTTGAGTGACGAATAACACAAAATCCCTTTCCAGAGTTAAGTATTCCTGCACTATCACTACTGATGATTTGCAGTTCTATGAATTAATATTAGACATGCTAAAAAAAAAAAGCGATTGGGGGGGAAAGCTCAAAATAGCAAAATGAGTAGAAAAACAATTTTTTAGAAATTCTTTGCAAATGGGAAAAAGTAAAAAAAAAGAAAAACATGAGCTGGCTAGCTATAAAAGGGAGACAAACATGACTCGCTCTTCTACTGCTAACATGCCTGTAAGTTTGTATGTATGCTATAGTGAGGCAGTTATCAGAGCATAAAAGCTGCTGCAATGGGTTTTCTAAAAACTAGTGCATTTCATCTGAGGCTAATTAAAAAAAAAAGTAAAAGTCAAATTCATACCAGACTCAAATGAGCAAAGAGGACAGCTTATGACCAAAGAGGATAGTTTATTTTAACCAATACCCATTACTGTTGGGGCAACCATAATAGCTCATTAATTTTAAGCAAGATGGGAAGGTACCATGCAATCCATTCAAAAAATGGTTTAAAGCCCCTTCTCTATTCCTTCCACCCACACTTCAACCATGTAATTATTATATATGAAAGCCCAATTTTTTTTATAAGTAGGGAAGTTAAAAAATTTATGAAAAACATGCAATCATCAAGAAAAACAAAATCAGGATGACTAAAAATAAGAAAGATATAACCAAAGTACATTTAAGTATATACTTAAAACACTATTATAAGAAGTTATGTTGTCTTTAAATTACATATAACCAATAACTACACTCAACCAGAACAGGGTTGTAGTCAATGTTTTATGTTAAGTCAAACCAGTGAACTGGCTGAAGTTCCTCATCATTACATACATGGAATGTGATCTGGCTGAAATGCTAAACCAGCATTAGACAGCCTTAACACCCTTCTCTGACAGACGAGTATTTTATTTTGATATACTCAGATAGGAACATCAGGTGACACGATGTACAGCTTAATAAGCATTTCTTTCAGGGACAGCACTGGCTTCAACAACTTACTCGCATAATGTGAATACTGCACAAGAGTAGGCCAAAAACCTGGGCATCTTTACCCTAGGGTCTATTCCTCAACTTAGCTCCCTGTGTATTACCAACAATTATAATGTTACTTCTCCAGCTACAAGAAGCAGCAGGCACAGATTCAAACAGTACCGGCACTGAATTAAATGCTCCAGTGGCATAATTCAAAGATGGGTTGGTTTGATTTGGTTTTTTGGGGTTTGGGTTGCAGTTTGGTTTTTTTGGTTTGGTGGTTTGTTTTTTGGGTTTTTTTTGGGGGGGGGGGGGGGGGGCAGGGAATGTTTGGTGTAATTTTTTTCCTTCTACCAATGGAAAAAAATTATCTTTATTTAAAATATTGACAATAAAGTATTAGAAAATAAGTCAAAATTAAGAAAATCAAGTTTAGTTCAGAACACTAACTTAGAGGTCTACATAGCATAAGATTACAGGATCTTGCTTCAAAGCTATGAACAAAACAATTCACAAAATTATAGTTTTCTCCTTTCTATTGCACAAGAACCCTTTTCATCAAAAACTTCTTACTCGCTGGGTGAAATTTAAGGGCAAAATAGGAAACTTGGAGGTAAAGTAAGAACATTTTAATGCAGACATTCATGTATCTCATATCATGGAACATGAAGGTGAAGTTTAACTCTGCAAGTTAAGTTTATTTAACAACCAGCTATCCCTGAAAATAGTGGTCCTGACTCTGTAACTTCCCCTGAGCTGCCCCTGCTGCTTAGACAATTGTGCAGGGGCCAATTTAAGAAACTCACAAACTCAACTGACTCCTGAGGATGCACATGAAACAGTGGGAACAGATGTCCCAAGGCTTTTAATGGCAACTGCCCATTAGATCAATCCAAACATAGTGCCATACCACTCACAGAAAGCCTCCAATAATTTGAGATAGCAAGAAGATTTTGTCCTCTGAGGACTATTAATATGATTAACTTACAGGGCTCAGGCATTACTCTGCTTAAGAGTGTGTGAGCCTCTTCAATTCTGCATAATTTGACGAAAATGTAAGTAAAGACCCTTTGAATTAAGTTCTGTGTTAAGGACATCTGTGGTTATTTCAATACCCATTCTACCACCCACTTAAAGAAAAGTGCATTTATATTGTGTCAAAATCACTTTAAGATTACCAAACACACCAATGACAAAAATATTTTACTTTAGTAAAGTAAACATACGCAACATATCCTACCCATGCAATTACTTATCTTGATATATCTCCTACCTATGCAACTATTTCGTACAAAGCATTAAACCCCATTTAAATGTTATGGAACAGAAGAAGTGACTAAAACACTTTTGAAAAGAACTGAGAATTAAATCAAAGTATCCCAACTGCCAGTTTCAATGCTATTCTCCACAGTAACACACAATAATCTGAAGGTCATTTATTTTCTGCTGTAATTTACAAACAATGCTAAACCATATACTTAAAAGTTCTTGCTGCAAAACCATATGGTCTCACAGGAAAAGGCACCTTTCACTAAAAAGTGCTCAGTAAAGTCAGAAGAGGTTCTCAGAAAAACCTGCTGATAGGTTTTTTTTTTCCCCCCTCTGTTAGTAAATAATTTTTTAACTATCTAACAAAATACAGTAATACTCAACAAGAGTAAACCCAAAGTTTTCAGTACAGGTCATGCTCAGCCAAGTGTACAGACAGTATAACCTCCATATCCTCCCTGTTCCACCCCCAACTCTTACCCCACAGGCAGGGTTAGTAAGATGTATCCCACTTTTGTAAGTAGAACATCACATTCTCGTAATGGGGATAATAAAGTCCGAAACCAACTGCAACCAACTTTTAGCAACTAAACTGGCTTAGTAGACAATATACAACTATTAACACACCAGCACTCAAGCTGCACAAGGCAAGAAATGGATACGTTGCAGTTCTGGTGTTGGAAAGTAAAAAGTAGGCATAGCTTATCTTCTACGAAGAAAACAGATCATCAGGATAAAACACACAGACAAATAAATGGATGAACAAAGCAAAAAAAAAAAAAAGCTGTCATCTTCCAGGCACGAGGTATCTCAAAGCAAGATGTGAAATGTTTTTATTTAGGCACTTAAATATACACCAACAGTTTTAACAGCTTTCTCTAACATAATACAACATGCAGGATAACTTACCTATTAGAGTTTTAAAACACTGCCCCATCTTAGCCAGGAGAAGTTACTCCAATTCTTTACTCTGAAGATACCAACAAAAACTCTTAAATCTGATAATTACATAAAAATGCCACACACAAAGATTCAAAAACAGAGGCATGCAAACAGTTTTTCACAATATACATGCATAAGGAAATAAAGAAAAAGAAGAATTAAACTAAGAAATAAAGTTCGCACTGTATATATTCACCAAGAGTCCAAAGAGCAGCTGAATTAATTTGGACTAAGCACATAACATCTGAAACACCAGGCACAGAAGTAACTACCACACAGCTCCATACTGAGCTTTTCATTTGTGCATTTCAAATCCCCTTTCCATAGGGGGATAAGCATGGGGGTTTTGTGGTATGTAGACAACTATACACAGTCCTGTTAGCTAAGTCATCCCAGGATGCTGAAATCCATGCATTCTGCAAGTTCTGTATGTCCTAATATTCACCCCACCTCCAAGTAATCACATAGCTCTTAACGCTACAACCACTGTAACTGCTGGTATGAAGACACAATGAACAGGCTGGAGTTCAAAGAAGTGGTAAAATACCTAGTTTGATATATATGAAAATTACTCTTCTCAGTTGCAGAAAGCAAGAAACTGTTTATCATCATAGAAAATGTATTTGTAAAAAAATCACAGATAAATGAGCATTTATGAGTACCTTGTTCTCAGTTTCCTCCTGATCTCTCAGGCCTGATCTCGTTCATCTCAAACTTGCTGCAGAATTTCATTTCCTGTTGCCTATTAGTGCGATCATGCCTCACTTCCGTTTTTCTCTTTAAAAACCCTTGAAGACAGTCTCAAATTTGTCACACAAGGGAATGTACTTTACTTCTTTTCTTAAAAAAAAACAAAAAAAAGTCCAAAAGCCCTGCTAACCCTGTTTAAACCAAGAAGTTTTTCTAAGATAAGGCCAGTAACAAGACACACAACGAAAGCCCAGTACTCTAATCATTAAAACTTGTTGCTGAGCACTCTTCTTGAATTCAGGATTAATGAGGCATTGGCTACTGTAGCAGTGCCCTATTCACAGTATGACCAAAGCAATAGAACTTAATATACAAAAAAAATTCTACACAATTAACATTTGAATTCTCTAAGATTACACAGAGCCAAACCATACCGGCGCCCCAAAATTTTAGTTTGATCCTCACCAATAAACTATTTCCATTTTAGAATATAGGAATATATGTATGAAGTCCGTGATGCACAAAGCCAGACATGGGGAAAAAACCCCAAACCTTAAATTCAATCTGATTGCAGAATTGTTACATACTTCAGTAGTATACACACACGAGAGAGAGAGAGAGAGAATGGAAGTTTTCATTATTTATATAAAACTTTAATAAATTAAAATTTCCATTATACTATATTGAATTTTTATTCAGTACATCTTACTGTTATCCCTCTTCTCATACCTAAGCTTAATGTCAAGTCATTTTTTTCCAATTTCAGAGACTTTGACCAGAAGGAATCGTCAGGATGATCTAATCTGGCCTCCTATATA